AAAAAAAATTTGGGAGGAAATTTAAACTTTTGGGGTTTTTTTTAAATAAATTCCGGGTTTTATTTTTGCCCCCCCCCCCCCCCCCCCCCCCGTAAGACATGGACACATCTTTCATGTGGTACTCATGGCATGTGCTGTGTTATATACCTAGGAGAGTGGTGGTATGTATCTCCTCCACGTACCTTGGGCTTTCGCACGTCGCGCAGCCACCCGCGGCAGCAAAGGTGGAAGGAGAAGCGCTCAAGTGCACAATGTGGAGTTTGCGGTTTCCCATACGTACGGATGAATGGTAGCAGTCCAAGATAGGCTCTCGGGTCTCTCTACAAAGCCAAAACAGGAAGGGGGGGGGGGGGGGTAGGTGTGACGTGCGAGAGTAAGATCGCTTGTTCAGTAGGATCCCGGGAAGCCCGTGTTTTTGTTACGGTGTGCGCTTTTGCGGAATGTACGACATTAGTGAGAGTAGGGTGCGGGAAGTACTCATCATAGATTGGCACATTGGACGTCATGTCTGTCCGCTCTTTGTTCTTTCTCGTTCATGTTTCTACGGCTCGTTGTTAGCCTCCCCGGTGTAGTAGGTGCTTAGCCCCATCCCCCAAGTTTCGGGTGCTGCTAGAGACTCGTGTTGATACTTGATTTGGTGTAGCCGAGCTCGTCTGTACGGAACCAGGTTGTTGGTGTTGTTGAGTCGATGAAAGAAATTGTGAAATAAATATGAGCATGAACACGACGTGACAAAAAACACGACAACATAGTTACACTGCCTTCGCGGCACTTTTACCGGCGGAGTGAGATAGCACGGCCCTGCCAAACGGGAGCGGGCACCGTGGGAGTCGTCAACAAGTGAAGGTAGGCCTGGTAGTATGTATGCGCAGGGATGGTAACCCGTTCACCATGGCGTATCGAACAAACACGAGCATAGCGCCTTCTTCTGTCAAGGCCACAAACACAAACAGGAGGGATCCTTTCCTTCTTCCCCTCTTGAAGAAGCCAAAAGAAAAAGCGGAGGAATGCAAGTCCACAAGAGGAACGCTAAAGCACTGAGCGATGATTAGCGTTTCGCAAAGCACGCCGTAGCCAAGGGTAGAGAGGGGCACGGATCCTCGTGCAACACGTCACCGACGACCACGTCCATCTGTGACTCTCGTGGCGCCTTACGCCGATAGACTTGAACCGATGCTTAAAACTTGGAGCGGTACACGCATGTACCCCCCGTACAAAAGCGCATTGATGTCCAGACTACAGCAGACACTTCAAACTTGAGTGAAAGGAGTTTACACCTCCTTCCTGAGAATGTAGCAGAACGGCCCTAAAAACGGACCAGTTGCAAGGTCGGTCGCACACGCTCTGAACTATGACGCCGGCAACGGCATGAAATGAAAAGATCACCGCGCTTCAACTCCGCAGCGGTTTCGCCACGATGGCGAGACTACTGTGCGAAACAAATCCAGCTCCATAATCTAGGTACCAAAAAACATTACAATGTTCGGAGACACCGATCTCTCTTAGGCCGAGTCTTACGTCGTGATTTTTTCGGAGATTTGTTTCGCTCTCGGTCGAGGGGGGGTGATCTGCAAGGGAAAAATTATCTGGATCCAAACGACCTTCTTCTTGGTTCCTCGACACAGATTTTTTTCTCAGGGGAAAAATAGGGCCGATTCAAGTCTTTGTGGGTCATAACATGCTTCAGTTCACGGTTTTGGCTCGTGTGCGACCAACAAGACACCGAGTGCCCTGTTTTTTGGTCGCCTCCAGAGGGCATGTGTATAATCGCACGCCAGTGACTGCAGTTTGTGGATGTCGTCGGCCAAACGCCTCTCTCTGGCATGCGTTGTGGACTGATCACGCTCGGAGCAACCAGAAAAAAAAAGGCAACGTCCAAAAAAGTCAACATCGCAACACACTTCGGTTCACGTTTACAGGCCGTGTGCAATCAAAACTGGACAATACGCTCTGCTTCTGGGACGCGAGCAGAACGTATGCGTATGATCACACGCCATTGGCTGTAGTTTGTGGATGTCATCGGCCGAAAGCCTCCCTCTGGCATGCGTTGTGGACTGGTAGCGGGTGACACGCGGAGCAAACACGCGGCGGAACAAGAAAAAAGTCCAAAAAGTCAACACCGCAGCACACTTCGGTTCACGTTTACAGGCCGTGTGCAATCAGAACTGGACAATACGATCTTTTTCTGGGACGCGAGCAGAGGGTATGTATATGATCACACGCCACTGGCTGCAGTGTGTGGATGTCGACGGCGTAAAGCCTCTCTCTGGCGTGCATTTTGACTGGTCACATATGCGGCAGGCACAAAAACGGCTCTTTTCGGCCCAAAGGCAAGAACGTCAGCAGAGCAATGTGGCAGGGTTGACGTTGTCGGCTCGTGTGCGGCCAACACGACGCAGAACGCCCTGAATTTTAGATACCTGCAGAGGGTTTGTGCATGATCTCATGATACTGGCCTCTGTTTGGCCAGCAGACGGTGTAGTTCCTCGTTCTGGCACGATCGGGGTGTGACCAGGGGGTGACCCCCCCCAATTCCAAACTGGAAATTATCAGCCGATCCAGTTTGGAAAATGGGCCCATTTTCCAACGCGGCAGCTGGGATCCTAGGAAATATTCGGCGATTTGGAATTTGGGCGTTTGGAATCGGCCAAATTCCTCCGCGTAAGACGCTCAAATAATTATTTGGGCTGAGAAAAGGACCCCCCCCCCAAAAAAAAAAAACGAAATAATCACGACGTAAGACTCGGCCTTACT